GTTGTGTCTTGTCACCACGTGTAGCAACCTTTGGAAGATGACACCATACTACACATGTATTCCTGATCATAAAATGTGTTTAATATTTTATTATGTTTATTTTAAAGTTAATTTTTATTTGCATGAGCATGGCCATCAGATCAAAGAACTTTCTGAATAGGGTTATATTTGGAGTGACATTTTGTATTACCATAGGCAATGTACTTTGATGGAATATTTTTCAAACCAGCAGGATTTATAATAACCTCACCATCAACATGTTATATCAGACCTACCATCAGCACTGCAACTAATAATGATGATGATGATAATGTTTATAATAATGTTAAAAACATCACTTGTAGCTGATAACAGCTCTTTCAGCATCACATTTTATTATTAATAATAAAAATAATAATAATAACATTATAAAAATAACAGCTCTACCAGCAGCACATTATACAAATGGATAAAAGTTTTGACAGCTGCACATTATTAAAAAAAACAGCTCTAGCAACAGTACATTGTATTAATGACAACAGCTCTACCAGCATCTTATTCTAGTAAATGATAAGAGCTCTGACAGCAACATATTATAATAATGATAACAGCTCTTCCAGCAGCACATTATATTAATGATAACAGCTCCACCAGCATTTTATTCTAGTAATGAATACAGCTCTATCAGCAGCACATTATAAAAATAACAGCTCTACCAGCAGGACATTATAAAAATGATAACAGCTCTACCAACAACACATTATAAAAATGATAACAGCTCTACCAGCAGCACATTACAAAAATGATAACAGCTCTGACGGCAGCACATTATATTAATGATAACAGCTCCACCAGCATTATATTCTAGTTATGATAACAGCTCTGACAGCAGCACATTATAATAATGATAACAACTCTACCAGCAGCATATTATAATAATGATAAAAGCTTTGACAGCTGAATAGTATAACAGTTCTACCAGCAGCATATTATATTAATGATAACAACTCCACCAGTATCTCATTCTAGTAATGATAACAGCTCTGACAACAGCACATTATAATAATGGAAACACCTCTGCCAGCAACACATAATAGTGTAATACCTCTGCCAATATCTCATTATGATAATGGTGATAGCTCTGACAGCATCTCATTATCATAATGATAATGTTTCCGGCAGCAGCACATTATAATGATGGAAACAGCTCTGCCAGCAGCACATTATAAACGGTTAACAACTCTACCACAGCATAATACTGATAACAGTACTATGGGGACAATGTTATTCTTTTTTCAGATGATTTAAAGATCTTGATGGTTAACAAGATTTACCTTTTTATGTTATTATATATTAATTACTTTTATATAAAACACTAATACTGATCTATTATAATAATTGTGCATGCAACACAACTTCCTGTAAATCTGCTGCTCCAGATTTTGTCTGCTCCAGTTTTGATAAATTCCTCTCACTACTGCTTTGCATAAGATTATAGTAGGAAATCAGCTTCTAATTAAAATGTAGATAATTGCTTTGCACCAGTATTTCCCCTGCAGCAAGCACTATAATTAGTGAACACTAACAGGGTTATTCACAAAAAGGTGAAGAGTTTGGAGAAGGCAGGAGAAGTAAACAATCTAGGACAACATAGCTGATTTGGAAAGAGTCTCCAATTCAGCTCACTTTCCAGTTCAGCTTTGTTGTCCTAGATTGCTCACTTTTCCTGCCTTCTCCAAACTCTTCACTCTTTTGTGAATAACCCTTTAAATCAAAATATCTTGCCAACAAATGTTATCGCGGTATGCCTCCACAAGTAATTCAAACTCTCATCATGCAACCCCAATTACAAAAAAGTTGGGGTGCTGTGTTAAAATCTACATAAAAAAGAATGCAATGATTTGCAAATATCATAAACCCGTATTTTATTCACAATAGAAAATATGAAACATATCAAATGTTTAAACTAATAAAAGTGCAACTCACAAAAGTTGGAACAGGGCAACAAAAAGCTGAAAAGTAAGTGGTACTAACAAGGTGTCAGGAACGGACACCGCTCTGTAACCCGAGACCAGGGCGGGGACGGCCCCGTCAGCAGCGTCCTGTTGCTGGGCGACGGGCGGGCGTTCCTCAGCGCTCCACTCCTCCTTCTGCAGAACAGCTGAGCCGGCGTGATGATGCGGCGAGCTCGGTCCAGCGGCGTCCCGTTGCTAGGAGACGCTCGGGTCGAATCTCGTCTCCTGCTCCGCCCCCCAATCACAGTTCACTGCCTACATAAACTGAAGGCTGTTCACTTGCTCGACGTTCTAGCAAAGTAGTACGTCGAGCAAGCTACTTAGGATCTCCAGTTACTCTCGGGTCTCTTGCAATCCTGCTACAACCTTCAGACTTCACAACTAAATCCCTCGGATTCCTGGCAGCACGAATGCAGCTCCACCTTCTGTGATTGAACTCTCCACCTAAATAGCAAGTAGCCATTACCACATGCTGTAATCAAATGAAGTGTTTGCTGATGCCTATGTCGGACTTCCATTGTACACTCCTCTTCTTCTAATTGCTATTGATTAGAAACACTGCTGCATAGGACATAAGGATTGACTGCTCTTATTGATATTGATGTTATAGATAGTGAATTGAACCAAGTCATATATCACCCTTCCTTACCCCATTCTCGGAACTGTCATCACTACTGGATGCAATAGAGTTACCATCTGTTTGACGCCCTAGTGAAGTAACTAGGAGGGAGAACTACAATTCACATCAAGCCCCAATGCAGTACAATTGAGGGTTGTGGGGATACACCACCTTAATTAACTCCTCCTACAAACAAATGGTATATGATGTGTAAGGGGTTCCTACTACACTCCCTGCACTAAAGTGTGACTGTGAACCCCCCACCTGAACCATTTAGCTTACCTCCGCAGTTGCGATCCTACACTCCCTGCTGCGTTTGCACGGATCATTACACAAGGAAGAGCTAAAAGAACATTTTGCAATTAATTAGGTTAATTGGCACTCTTTAAAAGTACAGATTTACTACTTACTCAGACTTACCTTGCCCACTGGTTCATAAAAAACATAGTTAGTCAGGTTGGAAAAAGACATCGAGTTCAACCCATTTTATAATAGTGAAAAACGTTTTAGTGGATTTAATAGATATATGTGATATTCTTATTCTTTGAACTCCTTTATGCACCAGTACTACCGTAACCTCATTTGGTCTAACCAGCCTAAAAGATTTTTTTGGGGAATTGGGGTCCAATGCTCCACCAACACACACCTACTTCAGGCACCTAACCTATTGCACACAGGCAACACTCAAGACCAGTTTAATTGTAGGAGGAACCTTAAAGCACAAGCACGTAGAGATTTTCAATTCTTTATTGCATTATTCTGGTATGTTATTTTTCTCATTGCATTATGCTTACGTTTCATAAATAAAAAGAAGACAAACATAACATTACATTTACAACACTGTACAGTGATTGTTAATGAATAAATGTACAGTAAACAAGGTGGGAAAGCTTTTTTTTAAGCATGTACATTATTTTAAAATGGAACAACTGGGACTCAAATAATTCATAGTTAAAGGGTTTGTTCAAATTTTGCAAGTCCTAAATGATCAATATTACTCTTCCATAAAATAAATGTTTTTTAACATGACTATGGATTGCAAACTTAGGTTTGGTAGTTATACTAACTCTGTAATACAGAAGTAATATGGCAAATAACTGACAGTCAAAAAGAATTATCCTAAACACTGATGCTACTACTACCATTGAAAATCATCAGCAATAATATTTTATTTTCATTACAGAATATGACCACAAAAACAAGTATAAAAATATGTGCACTTTAGGACTGGAGTGAATAACTGTGAGCTGCCTGGTATCAGATAGTTTGGACCTAAAGGGCTTCAATTATAAAAGTTCTGCACTGAGGAGTACAGGAAATATGTGCCAGGTGGAACATTTATAAATAAAGCCCAAAGGCTTCTTAGTCATTTATGTCAACCTTAATGTGTTTTAAGACCGTGCATTGGCTAGATCAACATTATTATGCCATTATTCACAAACATTCTAGTCCAAAGCTTACACAAATCTGTTTTGCTTCAGTCTCTAGACAATTTCAGTCCCACTTTGTCAAATTAGAATTTAGAAAGAAAAATGTTTGATAATTTCATAATGAAATTGTTGTACATTTTTTTTATAATATATGTAGTAGTGAGATTAGAAAACCTAGACTAGACACCAAACAAATTAATATACAAAGTTTGTTGAACCACCAAAGAAAATTGGGTCACCACACCCCTAATTAAATAACAACAAAAGAAATACCATGGGGCTTTTTAGGTGTCACATCCGGATTAAATGGGACACAGTTGCATATAAAATATTCCTAATCAATTATAGAATTATTTTAACAAAATATTTATTATTATTACATGATTATTTAGAACATATATAAAAACAGAGTAAGAACATATTCCAGAAAGCAATATCTTATCCCATGGCATAGCGCCCCCCTGGATCACACATGCACATTATATACTGTATATACATTATATACAGTCTTATATATCTTTCATAAGGTGCTTGTCTTTTGACAATATCCATAAATAATTTGCCATAATATTTCTCTTTAATTCATGCTTTAATGTGCATGTGTGATCCAGGGTTGTGCTATGCCTTGGGATAAAATATTGCTTTCTTGAATATGTTCTTACTCTGTTTTTATATGTTCTAAATTATCATGTAATTTTATTATATATTTTGTTATTTTGTGTCCCGTTTAATCTGGATGCCCCATGTTTTTTATTTTGTTGTTATTTCACAAACAAATGAAGAAAACAATAATAAATATAATTTAAGTCTTTTAAGGACCTCACTTTGTATAAAAAACATTATTATAATGTTATATATTTTAATCAGAAATAAAATTATGCATGTGCTGTTTACAATTACAGGCTTTTGATTACTGTGCTGTTCGCTGTAAAACTGAAAATGATAGAACTGACTTACCATGTAAAGATTAGACATAGCAAGGTAGATATCAAAATTAAAACTTGATTAAACATTGCGGATTGTGTTCTCTGTATTGCTCTATGAAGATCATTCTGAAATATGACAGTTGACATGAGGAACATTATTTAATGCAACATCAGGTTTAAAAACAGTACACCAACTTAAAACTTAATTTGATGATTCCCCTTTGTGTGGGAACCCCAAGCCTTACGCTACCTAGGCATTCGCCTAACCGCCACCTATGAATCTCTATTTGAGGCGAATTACCCTGCTCTATTCTCACGCCTCGCACAATTGCTCCGAGCCTGGCCGCACTATACTTTGTCATGGCTGGGGAGGATATCTGCCATTAAGATGACGTACCTGCCAAAACTGCTCTACTTTTTCAGGGTCCTCCCAATTCCTGTCCCACGCCATAGACTCAGGATACTGCAACGTCAAATTTTTCATTTTATCTGGCAAGAAGGTCGCCCATGTATATCCCGCACCACACTCTTTTCACAGAAACACAGCGGAGGTCTAGGAGTTCCTCACGTATCAGCTTACTACACGGCGGCCCAGTTAGCGGTGCTTCCAAAGTACCATGCAACAGCAGATCCCCCTTTATGGGTCTCCCTGGAAGCGGTCGACAGTGACACCCTGACAATAGACAACCTCCTTTGGTTACTGCCCAAGGATAGACAGGGGATACAGAACCCAATCACGCGACATTCCTTACGCATTTGGGACACGCATAAATACTCTAGTCACCTCCAGTCCTCACACTGTCCCCTCCTGTCATTTTTGCGAAACCCCGCCTTCCCCCCTGGCTGTGATTCCCCACTCGCATTCCGACATCGGGTGTCTGGAGATGTGACTAAGTTACACAAACTGTATACTGCTGCGGGTCCAAAAACGTTCCAACAACTGCAGGAATCATTTCAGCTGCCGGCCAGCGAACTGTTCCGTTACCTGCAGGTCAAGCATTTTATCTCTGCACAAGTCCCAACGTTCCCTACAGGGCCACTGTACACCACGTTTGAACAGGTCTGCTTAGATGACCCCTTCTCACCAGGTCTGGTCTCCCAACTCTATACCCAGGAAATGTTGGGGATAGTATCGCCCAGCCATAACTACATGCTAGCCTGGGAAAAGGACCTTGGTAGTCCCATAGATGAGGACAGCTGGAACACCATCTGGGAAGTGACCAAATCAAGCTCTCAGAGCACGCAGGCCCTGGAAACTAACTACAAACTTTTATATCGGTGGTACTTGGTACCCAGTAGGCTCAGATAGTTTGTCCCAGGTCACAACGGGCATTGCTTCCAAGGCTGCGGGTGGGTTCCTACATGCATGTATGGTGGCACTGCCCTGTAGTGCGGAACTTCTGGAATAGGGTTTTTGCCTTTTTGTCAACAGTCACGGCTCTCACACTGACGCCTGACCCGAAAGTGGCTCTTCTCAACATGCCCCCTGATAGTGCCACACCAAGACAGCACAAATTCCTACTCCATGGCCTCACAGCGGCAAAAGAGGTAGTGGCAAAGTCATGGAAATCCACCACTGTGTCTTTCGCAGAACTAGAACGTAGAATTCACTGGGTTTTTATCAATGAGCGCCTCACGGCACGGTTGCTAGATAAGGTCCCGCGCTTTGAGAAGGTCTGGGACCCTTGGATCCAACATCTACAAATGCGCGCATTTGATGCTAGCCTACTTGCACTCTGAACTAGAAGGGGGATCCTCCACCCCGTACCACTGTAATATGACCCCTTCTCAGTCAGGTCTCCCTTAACCCTCACCTGTAATGTTTTGCTGAAACACCACTTCCTTCCCTGTCTCCCCCCCCCCCCCCTCCCCCCCCTACCTCATT